CCCCAAAACCCCAAAACCCCAAAACCCCAAAACCCCAAAACCCCAAAACCCCAAAGGGTATTAAGTTCATTGAAAATAGAATACTATTTGTAGATAGAAGGACTAAGATCAGGTGGCAGTACCCTTAAGTTCCAGTACTCATTCCTCCTTTGCTGTTTCTTGGCTCTTACAATATGATCCTCTGTTAAATAATTGTTCCAGTTAGAACAATGTAGGGTTTCAGAAGAAGGTTTAAGTTTAATAGCTTCTTCTATCTCAGTTTGATCAATCCCAAGGCGATGAATGATCTCCTTCTTGCCTATAAGAGTAACTAGTGCGAAGTACTTTGATGAGGTGGTATTCCTTTCTCCCTTAGAGGAGTCTCACAAGATGTGAACACTAGAGATAAGGCAAGTAATTACCAGGATATTTGGACACTTGGGCAAATTTTTGAGGCTGCCGCCCTCTACTAAAACCCTTACTCTTTACTTTCTCTTTCATACTTGCTAGAAGATAGTTTGAGATATCTTACTTGATCTACTTCTGGCATTGACAATTCCAGGAATATCGATCGATTGGTAAGAACTTATTAAATGAATGTTACGACTCTCAATAGCTTTATCATTCCTCGAAGGAGGAGATGCTGTTGTAATTTGTTTATTTGAATGGCTTGTCATTGTCTCAATCCTTTCATCTACATCATTATCAGAGATCAAAGTACTTGGAAAAGATTCATAAGCGAATCGGGATTTCTGATACTGGTCTGCATGTCCAGTTCCATGGGCTATAAGATCAGATCTTGTAGAGCTATCTTTTCCAGAATCTGAGAGCTGGTCGAGCATCATAAGTCTTTGAACAAATTTCTTTTTACTCAGCTTGCTGGTAGATTTTCGTATGAAGTCATTCGCATTCCTACCCTTGGATACCTCACCACTTTGATTAAGGTTTTGAAGTCCAAACTTATAACGTTCGGTTATGTTCTGCTTCGAACGTGCTCTACTAGCTTTCTTGAAGTGTCTGATATCTCTAATACGAGTATTCTTGGTAGTCTGGTAATCATTCTCTGATATAGATTCGAGCATCTTAATGTCTAAAGTATTAGCACATTGTTTACCATTCGTCAACAAATTGTTCTTCAATGCAACTGGTGGAAGATAGCTATCTTCACGAGTGGTAAGCTTCCTTTCATCTAAATCTTTGTAGTATCTCCTTAGACCTTCTAGTACTGAAAGAACATCTGGCTCTGTTCCAACGGACTTTTGGCTTTTACCGAAATTCTTTACATTGAAGAAAGTTTTCAAGTACTCATTTTTAGTCTTATCATTAGGAAGGAGAGGTTTCAAATACTTCGAGATCATATAATATTTGTCATTGATCAGTTTCATAAGTTTGTACTTGGTTAGAGCCCACCATTCCTTTCTCTTTTTATCTTTAAGTTCATGAGTGAGATCAAACTCTCCATACTTGTTGAGACTTTTAGGGTCTTCCTGGTTGATCTCCCCTCTCCGGAAGTTCTTGTAGAACAAATTGAATTTCTTCTCATCTCCAGCAGTGAAGTCTACTTTGTCGACTAAGTGAAGGTAGTCAAGGAGGAACTTTCCTTCTACCTCTTCAAGTACCTTAAATCCTTCAAAAAGTGAGAAGAGGGGTTTATTTGGGTCGTAGATGATGCAATCACCTATTTTTGTACTGGTACCTACCCCTCCAGTATCCATCTTGCTTAGCTTATCCTTTAGGATTTTCTCTTTAAGATTGCCACTATGGTGATTACATGTATTATTGTTGAAAGTAAGGTCAGTATTGATGGCTACTGACTTGCCTTCAGGTTCTAGAAATTACTGGGACAAAATACTAGGAGTCATGGCAACATCCATGGCATGTTTCTCAGCCATCTTCTTGACCTTGATCTCTTGTTCCTTCTCTAATACTTTCTGTTTCTCCTGTTGTATTGTCTGGGCGTATAGTTTTTCAAGTTGTTCAAGGTCATCCAGCTTTGAGCCGAGCCGTTCCTGGAGCTTTCTGATGCGGAGCTTTTTCTTTTTATCCTTCATTTCTTCATCGAGCCGTTCCACTATTGGTTACAAACAGATGTTACATTTATTTAGTGAAGTCTAAATATTATGAGGAGCGTGGCCTTACTCTTCTTCATTTCAAGAAGTTTAAGGTCCTTCTTATTTCTGCTTCTGAGCACTTCGGTATAATTTTATCTGATTATCTGACTTATTTCAGCTCCCTGATCGCTCTAGATTTCGGAGATTAGCCATAGCCACAAAGAGGGGCCTTAAGCAACTAGATAACATACTTATGGATGTTTGTTGACTTCCAAATTCTGAACTTGTTCTCTTCAAGCTGGTTGGCTTTCATGATTTCAATAATTTCTAGGGAATAAATATTTCAGCAATACCATGATTTTTCCTAGTCTCTTCTCTGACCTGTTCAGCACTAGCATCTATTTTGTTTGAGAGTAGGTACCCGTTGTAGCTAAGTGCACCATAGCTTGACTCCCTACTATTAAGGTCCTGTGGCTGTAAGTTAGCAATAAACTTATGAGCAGTTTTGGGTGAAAAGAGGTACAAAAATAAACCCTTTGATACTGTTTTGGCAGATGAGGTATCCCTTTCTGCTGAGATAAGGGAGAAACTTTGGAAAGTATCGTAAATTAGAGGTAAAACTGAGATTTGTGCATACATTACTCATTATTATAAATTATTTTTAAGTTTTATGACTGGTTTAGGGGTTTTGGGGTTTTGGGGTTTTGGGGTTTTGGGG